ATGTGCAATTGATGAACCCTAAAAAACATGAACTGCTTTTCTGGAAGTGATTGAGCAGCAACAGGCATCAGCTTGATGCCTTCCATGAAATGAAGAGTTGCATAGGAAATGCTCTTATTAAAATATGATGCATAGCGAAAGGTTCTCTGTCTTAACTTTAGATTAGATGTTCATGAACAAATATCTATACTATTATATTTCAGAATATTTGTGTTCTGTCCTTCATGCATGACCACACCTCTGATCCCAGTCCAACTAAACTTGGCATGGCTTCCTCATTAGGCCTGGGGATGGTCATAGGCAAGGTGGTGTTTCAAAATCTGGACCCCATGGGATACCTTATTTAGTACATATTTGGTCGATTCACTACTACAGATCCCCCAAAGGAATAAAGTTTTTGGGGGGTCACTGAAAGTTCTAGAGGGAATGTTACTAAGTGAAATTTCCATTGCACCTCAGAGTGTAGCAGTTCATTATAGTTGAGTGGAATCCATATTCATGATTGAATAGGCATCCAAGAGTTGCTATTCTTATTCATTGAGCATAGTCAATGTTCACAAAATTATTTAAATTATGGAAGTTATATGATTATCCAACACTAGCCCAGGCCTATGGTATGGCTGATTATTATTTGTCAGCATATATTACATTTTAAATGTGAAAATTTTTAATTTTTTTTTGTGTTGCTTTGCATGAATGATGCCAGTTAGGCTAACTCTTTCTGTGTAGAAAGCTCTTTCCTTGGGTCAACAAGGATATCTTACCGGTAATTTGATCTCAACCTGCCCCATTACATGAAAGATTTTAGTGAACCATTTTTATGACATGTCATATAGATATAGATACCAACATTGTTCATGCTTTTACAGGCCGCTGATGGAGTTTTATTGCTTTCACTGCTTTTCCCTCTTCAACTCTGTTCTGAATCCAAAAACTCATTCTCTCCATCTTGCTGTGTCCTGGTGTTTCCATTTCCTCCTCCTTGAGTTTCCTCCCCTTGTTGGGGAGGTAAGTGAGCTTATATGCTGCATTGAGAGAGAGAGAGATAAGAAAGGCCGAATCGTGGCATTGGATATTATCCGCAACAGCATAGGTTGCTTCTTTTTTTTAGGGAAACCAGACATTTCAAAGCGGAGACGGGATTACTGATAAGTTGAGGGAAACCCAGCGTTCCGAGGAATGAGGACAACAGTGGCCTATCAGTCTGAGGAATTCAAACGTCATTGATTCTGATAAAGTGATAATTTTGGTGTCACATAAAGCTGGGATATCATAGGCTACTGGTCTTAGCGACAGCATTCGCCATAATGATAGATCGGTGGGAGAGAAGTCGTTTCTGCCCCCTTGTCAATAGTTATGTGGGTTGAAAAATGAGAAGGGGGAATAAATGTAGAACCGGAAGCCGCGCCCCACAGGAAGCAAATATCAACCAGGATCAACGATTTTTTTCACCCCCACCCGAACGTGATGATGATGATGATTCTTCTCTTTGTGGAGCGGCCGATGTCATTCCCGCTCCACTGCACCGATCCTAGGTGAATATAATTTATTACAGCGTGGACGATTTGCAGCTGGCGTCATTGAACCAAACGAAGCAACGTGGCAAGGCTAGCTATTTTCCCATACTATATTTAGCGTGAGACTTTGAATACCTTTCCTTGAGTCAGGCCTTTTTTGCAATGTCTCCTACGCAGTCAAGATGTTTCTGACAGTAGCTCAGAACCGTCTGTAGTGTTACGCAGATGCCAGGTGTTTGTGTAAATGTTTGCTGTTTCTTTGTACACGTGTCAGCCACATTCGCAAGGGAACGGCCTACGCGAAAAAGATTTCTTTCATCGTAACACGCAGAAATGAAATCGGCCTAATGGTCTTTGTATTTTCTCTTTCCTAGCCAGGTTTATTTTTAAAAATAAATGAGGATACTTAAACATTCGCCATGGCGTGTGTCTGACCTTGTCGGTTGGTTGCTTTCCTCTCCACTCGACGAAATATTAATGCTGCATACGTCAGTAAATGTTTACATCCCACAGTTGAGATAAAGTGACATCCGTGTGGTCTTCGGCAATATTCAGTTGGTAACAAAAGATTAAGGTAATATAAGTTGGAAGCTGAAAAACTGCTGGAGGAGCAGGGCGGAGTGGATGACTGGCAAAACTGTCGATGCCTCTGTCTGTTTTCATCCCTTTATTCTTCGTCTCTCCCATGATTTCGCCAGTATCTAAGGTGATTGTGCGAGACGTGCTCAGGAAGGGAAGCCAATTTCTCCATATAAAACCCAACCCGAAGCGAAATTTGTTGTTGCAATAGGTTGGTATTTAAGTTTCTTCATTTTTCAAGTATTATCAACATTGACGCTACATAACTTACAGATAATAGTGGATAAAATGCGGAGTCCTGAGATCGGAACTATCGTCGTACGGCTTTTTTGCATTTCTTCGGCACTCCGAAAGCGTTGACCACCTGGGTTAAAGTCACCGGGAGCCAGATCCGAACTGTGCTCTGGATGCTTCATCACCTCCCCAAAACGATGCCAATGTGTCAGGTGCGACAGCTGCCGTATGAGGTCGTCCATCACCGTAAAATCTGGATTTGACTCCCTGTGACTAATCTGTTCGTCCCACTGAAGAAATACCTGGGTGGCCAATGTTTTCGGACTCGATGCCATACGAAGGTTCCGATCTCAGGACTCCGCATTTTCCAGATGGGTTGTCTGTAAGCTTTTGTCGCATTCACATTTGGGCAAATACTTCTTAATTGAAAAATTAAACTATTTTTGCATTCCAATAACATATTTTGCTTACCAATAACTTGGCTTTACATGTGGAACACGCCTCTTTCCTTGAAAAGAGGCTGGATGGAGCTTTGTCCATCTGAAATATTTTTTTTTATCGCTCCTGTTTCGAATGCCGGAATTCTCCTTCCTCATGTATCGTCAAACGTGTTGCATAATTCATGAACAATCCAAGGCACTCACTTGCATGAAATTCAATTCCGCTGATGTCGGAAGTCCTGGATCGTTGCACACGAATGACGAAAAGGTCTTTGCATTGTCATGGAGTAATGCCAACCGAGGCATTATTGCAGTGTAGAACTGGTTTCGAAGTGTGTCGATTGCAAAACCAATCGCCTCTTCACTAGCTGCGGAACGAAAGCCATTCGTACCCTTAATTCCGAAACTAAGGCCGAGTTCATACTCGTGCTGTACAGCATGTACAACAGCGGCAAAATCAAATCCAACTCGGGCATGTTGCATTGAACAGTACACAGTTGCAGCATCCAGCGTGCTGTACAGCACGATTATGAACTCTGCCTAAGAGTCAATTTTAAACGCGCCTTCCACTGGTCTCTTCCGTCTGTTCCGTCTCTTTTTGGTGTTCTTCACTGAAGCTGGCGGTTAGGATCGTTTGCTGCAAGGTAGTCTGATAGGAGCGTCCAGCGTTATCTGAAAGGAGTAGTTGAGATTGAGGGAGACGTCTCGTATTAGCTTACTCTTCCGGTACATTTATATTTGTTTCGATCTCATTTCCTCAAGGCTTCTTGTTTCAAGGCAGTCTGGCCTGCGTGCGTTTCCTGACGCAGGTTAAAACCGCAGGGACCATTAGTTTCGCATGCGAGATTGGGGCTTTCCTCGTGCAGCAATCGACCTTCCCTTTGGACTACATTCGATATAGCTCTCTATTCTAGAAGTCGCGATTCCCCCCCCCCCTTTCTGTCACAAAATATTACATGTTACTTATTGTTACCGGTAAAAGTTTCATGTTTTAATCAGTTTCGAGAACTCGAGTTCTGTCCCATAACATTCAAAGACACCCAGTTTGAATTTCGAACAGCCAAGTTTTGTGGCATTGTTAGGGATGCACCCGGTCATCATAGGCCCGCAATACGAAATTTCTGCGACTTCTGCCCCACAGTATTTGAAGTAATTTCGAATTTCGAACACCCAGGTATCAGATGAAGAATAGAGCTTGTTTTCCGTGGTGCGATTTCCCCTATTTACATTCCATATTCATTGGGTTTTGTTCCATAGCATTAAAGTGAGACACACCCTATGAATTCGGAACACCTACGTGGATGGAGAACTAAGGACGCGTGCCGTCATTATAGACCCCGAGTACAGTAGCATAGAGTCCTGTCCGATGGTGCGATTGGGTTAGGGGACGGTCAGACATGCAAACATCGCCTTTTAAAACTACAGTGAAAACTCGTTAACTCGAATCCTGATAAGTCGAAATTCTGCTTATCTCGAAGTTCAAAGCTGGGTGTCTTTGAATGTTATGGGACAGAACTCGAGTTCTCATCCTGATAACTCGAACTTCGGATAACTCGAAACGATTTGCCCGGTCCCTAAAAGTTCGAGTTAACGAGTTTTCACTGTACGTCTGTTTACCCCAATTCGGGCCATCCTTGACGAGAAATTCATTCATCGTGTATTCGTGAATCGCGTCGCTAAAGTCGGGCTGCGTCGGGCTCTCCTCTCATGGCTGCCCGGCTGCGCGCTTTGTCTAAAAGTTAGATCGATTCCCCGGCCCCTCTACTTGTTTCCGGTGTGCCTTTCGCGTGGGTCGGGTGCCGTGGAAACGCCGTTTATGAATTTACGAGGCCCTCCACTTCATTATTCATCAACGCATCAATGGAAATGATGGGAATAGCATTGTAGGTGTAGTCGGTAGTTGCAATCCTGCGTCCCGTTCCGGAGAGTGAAATCCCGGATATCCTGACTATGCCTGTGTTACGGGCAAAGAAAAGGCTTTCTACTCTACTCGTATGTTATGTAGTTTTTGCAGCATCCACGTTCTAGGACTTATAAAATAATTGTCAATTAAAAAAAAATGTAATCCTTTCCTCGATGTACTGGTTTATTTTGCATGAATCATATTTATCCCCCAAAATGTTATTGATATTTAACGACTGCTGCTGCTTTGGAGAACCTCCAGACAGAATGCATGGTAACTGGTCGTGAAAACATACAGCATGGATTCTTTTTGTGCATACTGGAAGAAATGTTCAATGAGGGTGAATCCGTCATTCGATTAGCCATCAGTCATTCGTTGTACTCATTCGTTGTACTTATATGGACTCTTCTCGTCGATAATAGATGAGAAGCTGGTTTCGGAGGAAGACGTCATGGTGCAACGGATGGCAGAGATGGAGGAGCGGCTTCATCATGCCGAGATGATCAACCGCGAGAGACGACACGATGTCATCCTCCTCAGCAACCAACTTTCCAATCTAGCCGGTAAACACATTTCATCTGTACCATGCAGGCAGCGGATATAGGCAATGTGAAAGCGTCGCGTGATACGAGGCCTCCCAGCAAGGACTCACAAGGAGTTTTTTTTATATTTTAAATAACATCTCGCGCTTCGGTGTTAACTGATTGTCCTTGCACGAATACTTTTCTTGAACTTACTGGATTCGCGCCGGCCTGGAAAGCCGGGAAAGTTAAGGAAATCCAAGTGGAGTCTTAGAGAACTTAGAGAAATTGACCCAATTCGAAACTCCAGCAAAATGATAACATTCCATCATCAGTCATTCGCAAAGGGGGTGGAGGTGGAAAGTTGGAGGCTGCGTACGACGGCGAAAATTCTTGTTGAGAAAATACGTGGGGGTTTCTGGAAAAGTCACGGAAGTCAATTCTCCAATTTTAATAGGAACGGCCTTATCCCTTATGAGGCAAAAGAGGCGCTTCAGCCCGTGATCCGAGCAGTAGTGGAATGGATGGTGTTCATATTGGACTCGGCATGTCTGTGTCCTCCTTGGCCGTTTGCCAGGGACGTCTCGTATATTCTAATAACAGGGAAACAAGTGGAAGGAAGGGAAGAAATGGAACTGGATTCCCGGATGGCCTTTACGGCCCTTCCACCTCTGAACTTGATTTCTGGAATTCTTAGCAATTTTATCCATTCAGGATGTGGCCATCCATACCATTTTCCAGTATCTGTACATTTCCTCATGCATGAAATGTTGTACCATGCCTGATTTCTATCCTTCAGTGGTAAGCAATCCTTATCAGTACGATTGAGGAATGCAGTTCTAAACCTTGACGCTATTCATGACGTCATCACTCTCCACAAAATCACTGTTGGTTGTTGCCGATTTTGGCGCTTTATCAAATGAACCGCAGGATACTATTTGCCGCGATACCGAAGTCTCCGAAGGACAAGTTGACTAAATGAATGTGAGGCTCATATTGCTACCCATAGAATACTCCACTCTTTTCATATGCACTATCTACGACAGGGCTATAAATCCCGCGATATCGCTATTCGTCAGTCATGCAATCGGCAGCAAATATTTAGCTTTGTACAAACAAGGGTTGCGGCAGGGATGTTACATGGCGCAAAGTCGAGAATCTCTGAGAAGGATATAGGAGGAAAAGTATGTTTATACTTTTGATAATGGTGATGGCAGATGGCAGCCTGTGTGGGTGGCGTTATAATGGGGGATCGCCTATTATAAGTTATGGAGATTTTTCCTCGGAAAGGAGTTTGCAATTAGCGAGAATGGTGGTGTATCGAACGTACGCCGCTGACATGTTTTTATTAATTTTTTCTTGAGGTGGTTCTTGAAAGGTCCTCCATTGCCTATACCTCGGAGCCCGGAAGCGGAGCGTGGGCTTGTTGTCAGATAGCCCATAGGTTAGGTCGGAAAAGTTTGAGAATCCTTGGACTAGAGCAGGGGTCGGGAGCCTTTTTGGCCATGTGAGCCATATTAAGATTGAGCTGAGTGCTCGTGAGCCAAAGATTTTCAAAATAACACAATTTTTCCTGAAGTTGGAAATAGACACATGCATTCTTTGAGGCATGAGAAAAATGAGGAACAACCATGATTTTTAGCCATGAGTCATGAGCCAAACTTTTCGGCTGGTGAGCCAAATTTGGCTCATGAGCTCACTTTCCTAGGGTCCAACGACTTGCGACCCCCAAATATTTACGTCACTAAAAGTTGAGAGAAATTGAGTCTATGATTTGGAAAACATGAGAAGGTATGAATTCTGTTCTACAAATGAAAGCAAAGCTGGAAATACAATTTTATTCCTACTTTGATTTTAACTCACATTTTCCGTTTAGTTTATCTACTTTGCTTCTTCGAAGCGTCGGTTTTTACTCAAACTTCCTCCGATCGGGAATCGTTCTCTGTCACCTTAACTTTCCTGGAATGTACTTCAATGTACTGGAATGTACTAATGGAACTTCAAAGTTCAGAACATCTTTGCAATCAACGAATTAGTTAAAATTGACGATTGAATTTAGGAAGCATTTCGTCCACTGTGGGCCAACTAGAGGAATCTTGAATTTCGGAAACTCTTGAGTGCAGCGTGGAGTGGAGGTCGTTCAGCCTTCGTGCAAATTACCAATCATCCTCAAAACTCCGTCTCCAAGCGTCCCCTTCTATTCTCTTCCTTCAGCCTTCTTTCATCATATCCCCCCATTATGTAACGCCTTTATCATTTATGACGGTGCACTCGAGGCTCAAAGGAGACTCGCCACTGGACTGCCCTTTGCTAAGCTTGTTAGCGAGCCTTCTTTGAAAAAAAAAATGAGGCGCCTTATGCAATCCTCTAGATGTATGTGTGTCTGAGTGATCGAGAGAGAGCGAGAGCGAGCGGGCGTGAGCATTCGTTAACGTTTGCAGGAATGCAATTGCGTCAAGCCTCGCAACAATTTTACCACACCTCACAATCGGGGTAAAAACTTGGCCATATTTGGTTTTCGAGGTATTTAATGCAGTAGAAAAAAGTGTTGTACAACAAATTTGTAATTCGGGAACTGTTCATGAAGGATGACAGTGAGATGATAGGGAGACACACCCGCAGGGCCGCGGTCCTCATGTGTGGGCGGGATCCCGATGAGAACCATCGGATCCTCCCTCCATCCTAACCACCACCAGCTGTCATGAACTATTTCGCCTGCGTTGTCCAAAATAGCCGCTTCAAAGAAGACTTGTATTATACTGATAGTATATTCACCTCTGTCATCTGCAACGACACACTCATAAGAGGGTAGTTCTGCCTTTTTATTTTTTCGGAGTGGTTATAAATTCGCACTGCAGCCATCACCTTCCCCAGGTTGTTCCATAAGTTTACGTTGCACCAGCGATGGATCAAGGCCCGCTTTTACGGTACGACAAATCGAGTCGTACGAGAGTGCGAAAGACAATTATTCCCTGAAACATGTTCTGTGATCCGTGAGGCGAGCCTTGTAAGCTTTCAGCCTCTCACGACCGAGTCGCACTACATTCGTCGCGCCGGGTGAAAGCGGGACTTCGGAGATTCGGCTCATTGTAAAACGGAAGCTGTGTTCGGTGAATCATGCCAATATGTCACGTTTCTCAATACGGCGCGTGACGGTGTGGAAGAAGTAGGAGTGTTGGACTTGAATCTGAATGGGGTCTCCTTTTCATGCTTAAACTGGATTCTACGGATAGCCCATTCGTCGTGTTCCGAGATGAATTCTCGGTAGGCTTATCTGTGCGAGTGCATATCAATGCGAGTCAACTCCTTCATTGGATTCTTGACCTATATATCTGGAATACTCGACCCTGCCTGATGGGCAGGGCCGAGTATTTCTGATTATATCCCAAGGACTTACCCTGGGGAATCCGTCTCTGACCCAGGGTTGCCAGCACTCCTGGTTTTATCCCCTTTGTCCAAACCAGATAAGCGAAGAAAGGATGCCGGAGACCGGGATTCTCCTGGTTCCACGCCGAGGGGGTGCAAAAAGACTGGGAAACAGCAAGCTTACGGTATTCCCTGCACATGAGACCTGCAATCATCCTAGTTCAGAAGGTATTGGGTGACGGCCATCACATCTAACAGAGGCTTTCAAAATAGGGACAGCTGGGAGGAGGAAACGTGGCAGTTGTGCTACCCACCCCAACCCCCCTGGGGGGGGGGGGGTTGCAGGAATCCCTCATAATCGATATTGTTCTCCAAAAATGAAATCTCCAGGTCTTGAGGAAAAGTTGGCCACCCTACTTGGACTGTCTCATTACACGAGGGAATAGACTAGATGCCCTTATCTCAGGCTTGATTATATGTGAAGCGCCATAGTCATCGCATTCCATCTGTATTGAATGCCAATATTGTCTTCGTCTTACTCAAGTCATAACATAGAGACATCATCATAGCTGAAGGAACTGAACATTCAGCTGCAGATTTTTCGCTGGACGCATGTTACCACTACGCCCTTTTTTATTTGTATTTTTCCTGATGCAGGCGATGGAGGAAGTGGTCCAAAGCGAGAAATGCTAGGACTCCACCCGATTCTAGCTAATTTCTCCAAGAGTATCGACTTGTCTGTTCCACATATTTTCTACTATTTACCGCACTTGCTCAAACACCCTGAGAGTCTCCAGCCTGCATTCGCCTTGTCACAGGGCAGACGTGGAGGTTAGTGAATTGGTCATCTTTTCTTGGCCTTTAGCAATCTTTTGTATTTTTCGCTTTCGTTACGTTCATGAGCTTTTTCTGTTTCAGTTTCCATAGTCATGGGGATCCCCACCGTCCAGAGAGAAGTCCAGAACTATCTTTTGTCCACCCTGAATAATCTCATCTCCAACATGGATGAAGCCGAAATGGATGATGTTGTTATTGTCGTGTTCGTTGCAGAGGTCAGTTTAACGTTCTAGTCCAAGTCGGACGGAAGAAGAAATTTTGGAAACTATCATCATAATTGTGGAGTTAGTATGAACTGTTGCCTAATCCATTGATTACTGACACGTTCATATTGATCATTGACCCAGGCGGCTCAACGGGAGTGATGATTTGATTTGATCTGATCTGAGAGTTTTTTAACGTGAAGACGTTACCGAGATATAGTGCTACCCTCCTTTTTTGTACTATAAATTTGTGAAATTTTATGCCCAAACACTGAGCCAGGAGTATTATTGCAAGTTTTTTCAAACGTGCTGCAAAACACACTCCTGCAGGCCCTCCTAGGTTAGAAGGAACTCACTGCTCAAAGGTTTAATGGAATTTGTGTATCTTGCAGACTGATGACTCCTATTTGAAGGAAATCAGTAATGATATCATGCAAAAGTAAGCTGTCTTGTTCTCATTCTGTCAAGTTTTTCTAGCATTTCTGCAGTTGCAAATGCTCATGCAAGCATTTTTTCCCATACTCTATGCAGCTTTCACAAGCATGTTGACTCAGGATTGTTGGAAGTGATAGCTCCTTCACGTTTTTACTACCCAAATTTGGATGATCTCCCTCCAACATTGGGAGACCCTCCTGAACGGGTGAAGTGGCGGACAAAGCAGAACCTGGATTTCATGTTCCTCATGATGTACGCTCAATCCAAGGGCACTTACTATGTCCAACTGGAAGATGACATTGAGACCAAGAAAGGTTATGTCACATCCATGAAGAATTTCATTCACAAACAAAATGCAGTCATTGATCCAAAGCAAGGCAAAAACTGGATGATCCTTGACTTTTGTCAGCTTGGGTTCATAGGTAAGTGAAGACATCCAAGTCTAATTTGTTTGTCTGTAAGCTGTATATGATTGCACTTGCAAAACCAATGACACATTATTCATTTTATGGGTCTGATTCTGTTCGGCAGGGAAGCTGTTCAAAAGTGTGGACCTTCCAGCTTTAGTTAACTTCCTCATGATGTTTCATAAGGACAAGCCCTCTGATTGGCTTCTTGACAATTACATCCAGACAAAGCTGTGTCGCTTTGACAAAGATCAGGTGATTATAAACACCCTTGCAGATGGTAGAAGGTGCGTTGGCATTGTCATCACCAATGGTTATTTATTCTCTTATGATAGAAATATTGTCGAAAAATGAAAAACACCATGTGGATCAACCACAAGCCATCACTCTTTCAACATGTTGGTACTCATTCTTCCTTGTCTGGCAAAGTCCAGAAACTAAAGGTAAGAAAGACTACTACATATTTGAATATTTATCATATCGGCTTCATTTTCACACATGATTCAGCCATTTCCTTGAAAACTCTGTTTCTAGGACAAGCAATATGGGAAAACATCATCATTCAAAGCTCACCAGAATCCCCCAGCAACAGTGGCAACACAGATCAAACCATATAAAGGCCATGACCTTGTTGGGGCATATAGGGGAACAACATTCTTTTGGGGTCTCCTTCCTCAAGCAGGAGACACTCTCAATTTCACCTTTGATCATCCAACTGCTCTGAAGAGGTAAGGCCTTGTATACTATGAGGTGGTCTGAATGAAACTGAATGTATGCTAAAAGTAAATTTTTAAGCAGTGGTGTTTCTTTTTTAACAATTTGCCTGAACCATTTGGAACTTAAATTATTTTCTATTTCCATGAGAAGCTTTCTCAGAAAATAACATGATTATCTTCAATGAATCAAAAGCTAGATTGAATATATAAATTCATTGTTAACTGTTGTGCACTAGTTGATAGAAATCACACAACTTGTAAAAACCTGCTATTGTCAGTTCATGCATGTGAACCTAACAATTCTTGTCTATCACAATCTGCATCCATCTTTCCCCTCCTAAAGTTTTTGGGAACATGGACTGATAAAAGCAGGTTTATTCAGGGAATTGTGCTCTCTCTTCTACAACCATGCAGGTTTTGCTTGTTTTGTTTTATAAATTTTCCAATCTGAATTTTGTATAATTCAAGGAAACATTACAGGGTGGGCCATAAATATTCACACCAAACAAATAGTCTTGTATTTCCTATACTAATAATTTCCTATGAATCAACGAATCTCAAATGAGATAGACTCACAGTAACTATTCACAACATATCCTCAATGTATCCCCCTTCTTGACAGCAACCTGCAATCTTCGAGTCTGCTATTCAATTAAACTGGACGGACATGGTTCCACTCTTTTTCGTCATGTTCGGAATTTGTTAAGTCCAACGAATTAAAGTGTAAACCTGTGAATGAAGGTCGTCTAAGGTGTGTCATTAGATAACTTAAGGTCAGTCTAAACATTCCCGTAGGTACAAACAACTATTAATCTGCAACATGGTTTGCTAGATGGGTTTTTGAGAATTGAGTGTACACCAATTCTCTTCCTCAGGACAACTTCGTGAATTCTAACCGGTCGTTTCTCTGCGACTGTATATCCATAGTGTGGATAAAAAGAAACGAAAAAAACCTGTACATCTTTATATTTTCGATATAGTGGTATGAATATTTATGACCCACCATGTAATATTTGTCAGGGAAACATTTAAATTTTCTTGGAAATAGAAAAATCATTGCATTCAAATGATATCAAGAAATCTTTCAATAAGCAAGCGATTGCTTAAAAGCTTAAATTTTATTCATTTTGACTATCATCTACTCTGTAGAATGAACTTTAAATAATACAGTGTACTGGTACTGGCCCTGCAAAGACTTAGTCAGAGATACTCATTCCTCTTGTATTGTAACTGCTCAAACTGAAGTTTGTTCTAGCACTCTCCTCAAATTTAGGACTGGCCATGGACAAGAATCCATGGAGGTCCAATCGTAGCTTATGTTTGCATTTATGTCTTTTCGTACCAGATTTCATGTGTACTGTAGCTTGCATCAACAGCTTATAAGCATTCTTATATAAGTGTCCTTATATAAGGGTTGAAAATCCATTTTTTGTCAATGTATATTGAAGTATATCACTCACTAAATAGTACAACATTGTAGCAAAAAATTGATTTAACTTAATTCTAAAAAAATCATGAGTTAATTTATAAAATTTAAATTTAAATTAATAAAATTTAATTTAAAATAAAGTTAATTTTCGGTTCAGGGGTTAAAGCTCTTTCAATGCAGATTACAACAAATCATGAATGACAGCAAGGATCTAGAATAAATTATTTCCTAGGGATTGTGATTCCTTGTGAGCTTTATCTATCAGAGTCTATTTTCTGAGCTGAAATCTGTTGCCAGGATTTAGAAGTGCTATATGATAGAATGGCTGCTAGCTAGAGTTTTTAACACTCAGTCTGTCATTTTTGCTATTCTTTGCATCTTGCTTTGCTTGTTTTGGTATTATAATGCTTGCAGTTCAGTGGAAATGGCTGAAATCGGGCTTCCTTTAAAAAAAAATTTCTTTTGAGTTGTGTTAAATCCAAGTTGTAAATGCCTGCAAATGATAAATGCCATACACTGTTCAGTACAGGTTAATCCAGCATCCAAAGGTGAAAAAGTCAGAAGAGTCAATAAAGATGAGTCTTTGTACCATCTCATCTATGTCTCAAATCAAGTCCAATCAACCAGGATTGAAAGTTATTACTTGATTATCCCAGGTGGCCAAAAAAGAAAGTTCCAAACTTTACATGCCTGTAGACAGTGTACGATATGAGTTATCAACAGGAAATTTGCAGGCTTTTACATGCACTGTTTGCAGGTAATGTAACAAATACTTAATTGAAATTGGTTTTAAATTACATGGGTAACAATTTTTCTCCTGCATGATGTCAAAACAACACAGCGAGTATGCAAAGGAACATGTCTGAACTCGATGAAAGAACTGCTTGATGGCTTCTCCATGGATGTGTCCTCCTTGGAACACCCGCTGAGGCAGCACACCGGCAAGCAGTATAGACACACCTGCTCTTTTGATGACTTGTATGGAAAGAACTCTTACTCCTGTTCAGAGCACGGAATTTCATTCAAATATTCCTAAAGCCATCTACCTACATTGGGTATGACAAACTGAAAATTTCAAGACGATGCTTAGCATGGTGTCCTGTCCACAGCTACACAAAGTTCAGAACTTTTTTTGGGCCATTCGGTATTTCTCAAATTGAGTCACTAACAGCAGGCCTCATGATTATATTCTCTGTTTCTATAATGTTTCATGCCATTATTATCTTTCTAATCTTTGCACTGCTCTTTTCTGCATGTGAGCTTTCCACCAAGATAACATCCAAAGTAGACTAAGATTACTTATTTTTTTAAAGGTGGATGAGAGCCATGCAAAGACCATAATATGTTTTCTTTAAGAACAGGCTGACACATCAAACCATTTGTGAGACATTCTGTTAGGCATCATTCATCATGTCAGTCCATATTCAGAAATATACTGTTGCATCATCTTTCATGTAGCACTGGCTTGCTTTGTCGCCCCTTGTACAATGCAAAATTCAGCTTTTCTTGTGATTGTGTTGAACCTGTTGAACCTTCTTCCAATTACTACATGTTGTATTGAATTTATTTCCAGTTACTTTTTCCAAAGTGGAAACTCTGAGCATCCTCTGGATCGCTTCTACAACACAACCATTGAAGTTCTGCCAGAAAAGATATCCATGGAAGGACAGTGGAATATAACCACTGATGGATTCATCATTCTTGGTCAGTGCAAATGCTTATTTTGTTACTAGCATAAAAGTTTTGTATAATTAAAGAAACTGCTGGGGGTTTTATGATATGTTAGAACATGTATGGTTTGGTTTCTGTATAAAGCTTAAGGTGCAAGGGACTTAGGGGTTCACAACCTGCTGATGAAACTCTTAGTTTCATCATGTCATTGTCCAATGAAGGTCATCAGTCTGCTGTTATCAGTTTTCATGAAGCCAGGAAGTCTCCCTCTGAGATCTTCTAGCTGCATCAGAACCACAGCTACATCCAGAACTTCATTAAATGTACAATCAAGTGATTCCTTAAGACAAACTCTATTTAGGATCATCATCGATCGGGTCGAATGAAGTCCGTGTCAACCACTGCCAACATCAAGAGTTCAATCTCAACTTCATTGAAATCTGAAGCAATTGCTGAGAAAAATGGCCCAAATGGCAAAGGTGAATTGTAAATCGCTCCAGCAAATGGTCAAGAACAAGCTGAATCTCCACTCTTTCAGGCTCCATAATGCTCAATTTCTCACAGAACAAGTGAAGAAGACCAAGCTGCAACAATCACAGTTGCTGCTCCATTGGGTCAGGGATGGCAGCCATTTCTATATCCTCTTTTCTGACAAGAAGCTCTTCATGATCAAGCAGTCCTATAACTTCAAATTGTGACTTACACCCGTTGTCTCAGCAGTTCGTAGGGAGGTCTGGAGGTAGTACACTGAACGTGATTCTACGGTTAAAGACGCTTCCATACCCACCCATAATGACGTCTCCCCACGTGTGGTGACCAAAATGTGCCTTCTGGCACAAAGATCGACACGACTGTCCACTGTATCCTGGAGGATACAGCAAAGCCCTGGACTGAACAGCACTTTGGGCACTGCAAATGGACTTTTCAACAGGACTCGGTGCCAGCCCACACAGCAAAGACCACTCAGGCCTTCTGCAAATAAGAATTCCCTGACTTCATCACCTTGACAAGAATGGCCTCCATATAGTCCCGACCTGAACCCGTTGGACTTTTCTGTGTGGAGCATCTTGGAACAAACCCTGTGCTACTCTACATGCATCGGTTGTGTCCCTGAAGCGTACCTTTCAAACAGATTGGCTCAAAATCTCCCAAGAGACACTACATGCTGCTGTCAATGCTTTTCCAAAAAGACTTTGCAATTATGTGAAAGCAAAATGTGACAATTTTTAGTGATTTTTCTGGTATTATATGTTGAAATAGATGTAGTTTCTAATAGTGTTGTCTCTGCTTGTTAGCTGTTTAAGAAATTTATTTTTAAAATAGAAGAAAACTGAGTGTGCAGAACTTTTGTGTCACCCTGTATTAGGTCATAATATTGTGCTGGAAATCATGGAAACTGTGAAGGCATATGTTATTTGATGCTGGATGGATTCTGCATTTCAGGTGATTTCAACTCATTAGGAGTGGCTACAAAGCCAATCCCTCCAGAACTGAATCCTATCAAAGCAGTGCGAGTCAGCATTCATTCTGATAGCAACAAATGGGTGATACTAAGTGAGGTGAGAAATGTGTTACTACATCTCATAAATGCATTCAGCTCTGAGCCTCTTTGTGTGAACACTGATCATAATTTTGCATTCCCACTGTGCAGATATTCCTGGAAGAGATGCCAAAGGGACAGAGGTGACTGGGAACATTCATCAACCAGAGTGCTGTTGCCATCATGATCCTAGGTGCTATTTATCATTCATCATCAAGAGGTTCCTTCCTAAGCCTCTATGTGATAAGGATTCAACCATGTATTCTGCTTTCCAGTCTCGTATTTTAGAGAAGAAAAAAAAACAGGACAAGCCCCAAGTGTTCCTTCACAAGCATAAAATTATAGCTTTTTCTTGGTTTCCTTCCTTGGGAGTGAAGTCACAGGGGAAGTTTGATGACATCCCATACATTGCATAATTATGTTCATCATTGTCTAGTCCTTGAAATTTGGGCCTCAGTGCCATTGTGATCTCAGACGTCCCAAACTGCTACAGTATGATGTTTTTACTTGAAGAATTCTCAGTTCTTACTTTTTCTTGCACAAAAACTCTGTTTATTCATTCTTAATGATGGTATTATCAAGAAACTGTAATTGCAGCTGTGTCTTCATTTATGATCAACTCTCATTTATCCTGATTTCAGGGGACCAGACAGTCTTGTTGGGATTTATGATCTTCTGGATTATTGAAAACCTGACCAAATGATCACTCACTTTTCTTATCTTCTTTTGGAGATGAAAAATCAACTCATTGTAGTCCAATTTGTCTTACTTTCTTCAGGACTTTTTTTGTGCTTGATAAAGGAAACGAGCAACAATTTCTTTTTGTCTTTGCAAGAGTGGACCTCCAAAAGAGGAAGTTCCTTGGTTTTTTTCAGTAGCTTTCATGTTCCATCTAGGAAGGTAGAATTGACAATATGAGACCATGGCCCTGGAGCAGGAGATTTTTTCAAAGTAAAAGCTGCAGATTATTAAGATTTTCATTTGGATGAATGAGAGTTGACTGTATGATATTGGCACTGTTATTCTCATTGCAACAAGAAGGCATAGTAGTGAATTTTAGACATAGATCTTGTCTACTTTCACGAGTAACTGGTAAACTCCTACCTACTGTAAGTATTCCGTTTAAAAGGACTTGACTTTGTACTATTAATAGCAGATCATATTAATATCAAACCTTTGCTATAGGGGTTCTCCTAAAGCTTACTAACTGACTTGAACTAAGCCTTAGGAGAATTCCTATACTTTTCTGAACTGTAATTATGCTAACGTGTTTCAGTTCAGGAAAATTTGTGATTATGAATGTCATCCATCCTCAAGTGGTAAATGTTACTCATGCCATTCTGTGTAATTGGCTACAATTGTAATCCTAGTCAGGGGAGTTCTTTGGCATATGTTTCTATGAATGGGGTCAATGGCCATTTGTGTTGCTGCATGAGCAATGCATTAGCTTGAAGTTCATATTTGCAAAGTGGAGTTTGAAGATATGATGACCATGGAAACTACTGTGATGGAGACTTACTCTTGAAGCAGACCACTCTTATATTTGTTCATCATCAACTCAGTTTGATTTAAATTAAGGATTCATCTGTATTCATGCACACCCCATGCTTTGCAATATCAATAATGGCCAAGCATGCATATTGTCTGAGACTGAATTGATGTTGGCCAAACTCACCCTTGATGACCTGTTTTTATGGATGTGTGATTGAATAACTTTTAGGGTGAGTATCTTCTCAGTAAGTAGCTTGACCAGTCATTTATTCTTGAACTTTAGCTCTCATCAGGTTTCATATCTATGATCTGGTTTTACTGGAGGAATTCAAACTAACGTATGTAGATGAATAGAATCAATTAATTGCATTTTCTTGCCCTCCCTCTTAAGTCTCAGAATCGGCGAAACACATGGAAGTGGGACTACCAATTGGCAACAAGTGGAACATTGAATTCTTTAACTTCTGTCTCAAAATAGAGATGAGGTACTTGTTAGGGTTTTGAGTTTTTCTTGAAATTTCAGGTTCTGATGTACTATAACGATAGCACTTGTCTTGCCTGTATGCCTTTCAAATGCTCAAAGGGGACACCTCCAGTGGAAATGAATGTATGTGCTTCTCTGCTATGAGTTCATGTGTTCTTTCATTCAGTTCAGGTGACCAAAAATCTATAAAGGTAATATTGTCACTGAATGTCCTAATATTTTCCATGTATGCTGAGCAACCTCTTGATGATGTAGTGCTTGAATGAATGTTGCAAGAATTTTGAATCCCTGGTCATGAGTCATGTCTTTATAGATTGCATAGTATAGCTTTTTATTAATTTAAATTTGCAACCACATTTGTATGTTTGTTGTGCCATATTGATTTGTACAATTTATTTCTTT